TTTTTTTTTTTTTTTTTTACGATAAAGGCGCGCGGGGGGGGGGGGGGGGTAGCAGCACCATTTTCACCATCGATAATAAATTAGAAATGTTTCTTGAGCCCCAAATCAGCATATTAGAATGATTTCTGATACTGAAGACTGGAGTAATGGCTGCTGAAAATTCAGCTTTGCCACCACAGGCTCTCATACCAGATCTTCATTAAGTGTCTGCACAGTTGGTTCCATGCTAATATCTTTGGTGGCCACCATCTCTGCTTCAACCGCATTCTCCTGAAGAGTGTTGAAGAACTGCAGACAAGATGAAAACAAAAAAATAACTACACACTGAAACAACAATATAGACTAGAAGATGTAGATCTAAGCAGTGTATTTCTCACTCCTTCAAGTGGAAGTGGTCTGATAAGAAGGTTCATTGCTAATCCTTGTACTTTGCTTTAATAAGTGTGTGTATGAGAGACAAAGACAGAGGGCTTGGTCTCACCTGCACCACTTTACGGATGATACGGTTGAACAGGCCCATAAGCTGAGAACCAGGCAGATCAATCTCTTTCTCCAGCTCATCTATACTCTTGTGTTGAAGCCCAATTCCCAACAACAAAGCCTGAAAAAGAATGATGTTTTACACACATGCCTGAACACACAGTGGCTAGAATAAATTGTTTAATATGAAATTATAACAATATAGATAGCACGTTCTCTTTCCATTTGTACTGTTCTTTCAAACACCTTTTCAAACTCATTGACACACTTTATTCATTCTTGAAGTGAATGTTTGCCTGTATACTAGTGATTAGATTCACAGTTTTGGATTGCCACCTTGAACTGGAGAGCACAAGTACAGAATACATGAACGGTGTGCAACAGACTACCTATGGCACTTTCACCTGAGCTCTAGGAGACAATGTCACACTGACTTTAGTGAAGAAACAGCTGATCACTTTATAAACTGACAGCCTGTCTGCTAATATTTAATGTTTTTACCATTAAACATTCCTTTTGGACAGAGCGATATTTAGAAACTGCAACAAAATAAATGCTGTTTTCTAAGAGAAGTCACATTTATTAAATTATTATTATTTTGTAATAAAATGTACTTCTATGGTATGCTCAAACAATCATTGACTGTAATAAAACTAAAAGCCATGAAATCATTTAGAATGACATTTAATAATAAATATATTTAAATGAGTGATTTTGTGTCATCTGGTTTATTTTAGATTTTTTGTTTTGATTAGTACAAGTTCTAAATGGCCGGTAAATTAAAAATTTAAGAGCTACAGAAGCTGGCGAGTGAAATATAAATATATATTTCAAGAAAGTTTGACAAATAAAGAGAATTCCTAGAAATACTTGGACAAACACACAGTGAACTTACACACTGGGCAACAGAAAGTGTGATGTCTCCCAATTGTTTGAGGAAAAACATGCGTGCAATAACAGGGGTCATGTCCATGATGAGGTGATAGTCCACCATGTTTCTTGAATACATCTCCAAACGCTTTAGGTCGTATGGAGTGAATGTGGCCGCTAACTCTGCACTGGCGAGTGCTGAAGAGACACAGACACATGTAAAGTCATCATAAAACCAACACACATACAACATTTACTTTGAGGTGGCAGATGTGGGCCTGTACCTGAGCTGTCACCCTTAGCGTTCTTGTTCTGCGATATGTTGAGGGCCAGGGTCGGGCTAAATTTGCTGAACTGGAAGGATAGCAGCGAGAGGAACCTCCGCCGGAAATCTGTCCAACACAAGAAAAGTTAGTCTTTGAAATCAGAAAGAGATGGCTGAGTGAGCATTATCTCTCTCTATATATATATATATATATATATATATCTTATTTATTATTATATATCATATATAATTTATCTATTACACGGCTCCCTGGAATGCTTGATTCTGATTGGTCAGTTGCAGCATTCTTACTATATCATGAGAGATTGGAAATACTCATTAGGGCTGTCAAAATGGCTGAAAAACTTTCGAATTTTGTACTTACATATCAAAATTCGAATTATATTCGAATTTAAAATGCATAATTTCAGTTAGGGTGAAGAATAGCTTTTGGCTTCTCTCCTGAGGCCACAAGAAGGCGCATCATTCAAAAAGTGCATAATGTTTAAAAACCAATTATAATTCAAGTTGCTTAAACAACTATAAACAAAACAGCATCATGTATGTATGCATAGTTTAATACAAAGGGCAGAAAGCCAATCACAGAGTACATTTTTCATTTAAAAACATGAGATGCAGTGGGATGGGGAAAAACCCACCATAAAGTCTCGATATATGTTTTTTTCAAAGTTAAACTTGCATTAATTTTACATGGCTTTCTAAACATGCGGCTCTTTTGTGCGAGACACGAGTGCAACGGTGATAGATGTCCCTCTAGAAAATGCGCGAAATATGCGTTGTGTGAACGGCTTGGTTTCAGTTTTGACGTAAACAAGATCTTCTCCGCATTGATGTTCTCTTTTTCCACAATATCTGTAATTAACAACGCAGCAGCGCCGCGTCTAGTGGCTTCAACTGGATAGGTTAACAAAAACATAATACAACGACACTTACATCGTCATCACATCTCGTGCGCCGCTGATAAGGCTGCCTCCTTAACGCACACCTAAAATTCGAATGCAACGTTTTTGCATTCGAATATGGATTTTTAATTTTAAATTCGACGAATATTCGAAATTCAAAAAAAAAATTTGACAGCCCTAATACTCACCCTTCCAAAAAGCTGAGAGCCACTGGTCCTGCTCTGTAGACTCCTCAGCATTGAGCTCCTTCAGCATAATGCAGGAGTGCTCTCCCGTCAGGTCATTCTACAGGTCACAATATAAGAATACACGCTTATTACAAAGTTACAAAACTTGACAATGCTAAGAAGAAAAAAAAATGCTGCATGCTTACCGGAGTCTGTCTTAAATAAACAGGCACAAATCCAGCCTTCTTCCAGAATCTGGATGGGGAAGAAAGCAAGAGATATTTAGGAGTTACTAACATGTTTTGTGACAGTGCTGCAGTATAAATATCACTGTAAAACATGCTTGCATGAAGCAACTCACTTGAGTAGTTGAGGAGTGAGACCGTAAGACACCCCGATGTAGTCCAGCCTCTCGGCTCTCCTTTCATTCAGCTTCAACAGCAGCGGTGGCAGGTCTTTCCTGGGAGACACCACCTCCTCCAGGAGACTGACAGCCTGTACAGGAATGAAAAAGACATGAAAAAAATACTCGGATCAGAATACATACTTAAATGTTTCTTATTTATTAATACTTTTGGTCCAGATATTATGATACTTTATCAGGT